TGGAAATGAGTGATATTTACAACCAACTGGGAAACCAAATTCCTTTGGAAAACATGTATAGGTTAGGATTCTCTCCTCAGGCAATAGAGGAGTGGTTAAGTAGTTATTTGCCTGCAAAACACAGATGACTCTTCAATCTTTGGGATCTTTGATTCCCCAAACCCACCTATTAAACTGAGAGAGGGTGCATGCCTGTCTCTGGGATCATGGCCAGCCATGTGAGTTTTATATATATGGTAACCATAGGATTTGACAAACCACTTATGTGAATAAAAGACAAATGCCAAGTCTGGAAACCTTCTAAAACATCCAACGTGTCCTATTGCCATAGGTGATATCTGGGATAACTCCACATCCAATATTCAGACAGGTGATATCCAAATGTCATTGCCATTTATTTCTGAGACCTACCAAGAGCATAGAAGGTGACGATGTGAAGAGACATCCAAAAAGTTAGGAGTATCATGCTTCTGTTTTCCAAACGAAGGGGGTCAGATTGCAAAGATGATCATTCGGTTAGTTATCAGAGTCCAATGGTTTTATGCCATTCAATTGTAAGTTCCAGAGGTGACAATTATTTTTTTCTTTTTTTTCTTTTTGTCTCAGTTGGAGGAGAGAGGTTTAAAATCCCAAGGCCACTCCTGCAGGAGTGGGTCTACTTCACTACTTCTTCAAAGATGGAAGTTTTGCACAGAGCCCAGCACATGGTAAGACCTCAATAAATATGAGCTCGTGTTGTCAGTATGTCACAGGGACTAAGGCCCCAGTGGAGAAAATAGGAGCATTAGAGTCTGGAACCTGGGTCTGGGCTTGGGCTCTACCACTTACTTGCTTTGTGACCTTAAGCAAGTTACTTAATCATTCTGAGCTTTAGCTCTTCATTTATTATTATGATCCTAATTCCAGTCTCACAGAGAGCATACTTTCCTGAAATTAAGTGGTTACTTTGTGCCCCCAATAAGAGTCATCAACAAGAAAAGAGTGTAGGGAAGATAGAGGAGAAAGCTCATGTTCCATTGAACTTGATGGGTGGGTCCTGTTATCTATTTATATTTCACACAGTCTTTTCAGATGCAAATCCTCAAACTGAGAGAGGATTTCTGTGCTTTAAACTTCTAGAGATGCTTCTCTTCAAATGTCTTTGAAAAGCAAAGAAAATCCCATTCCTTGCTTTATCCTGGGCTGGGGACAGTGGCATAGGGAGATGGGCTGGGTCATGAGGAAGTAGATTTGGGCTGAGATCTAGTGTTTGTGGAAGGTGAGGGGTGCTTAATTTTTTTGAAATAGTTGTGTACATGTCTTCTCTAAGCTTGCTCAGGATTAAGAACACTTGTCTTGACTAGAGTGATGATGTTAAATAATGTCCTGTAAGCTGGCAAGAAGAGAGAATGGATAGGGCGGGGGAAGGGAAGGAAGCCCTATGTGTGTGTGTGAGTCCATTTTATAGCGAGTGGAACCTTCAAAATAGATGGATAATAGAGTCATTAACTAACCAGATGGAAGTCCCGGGTGGGGGGCAGGGCGTCCTTAAAAAAGGCATTCTTCTTATTGTAACCCAAATTTATTTTTAGAAGTCTGTTTTCTATCACAGTTTCTATTAACTGTTGTAAACTTGCGGGGGGAAGGTCTCATGAAGATTTTTGCATCCAGTGCTCTCTTCTGGTCTGGTGCCACCCATGCCAGGATCAGCCCAGTGTGACAGATACAATGCTCAGTCAGGAGCCAAGGGGCCTGGATTCTCCATCCAAATAGCCTTTTATTTGTTTTGCAGTCTCCTTCTCTGGTCCTCAGTTTTTCCCAGTGCACTATGAAGATCTCGACCTAGAAAATGGGGCTCAAAATTTTACAACAATTATTTGTAAGGAATATAAGTGAATTCTTGGAAATGACTTTAATATGAGAAAGGTGAAAGCTGTCCCATGTCCTTAAGAGCAGGCGCCTGGGCATCCCTGATGAACTTCTGGATTTCCACTTGAAATTGAGCAAGTTGAACTGAGGATTTCAATTTGAAAACCACAGAACAGAGGATCTTCAACATCATGTTCAGCCCTGTTCTGTGGATGCATGTTATACAATGTATACCAAGCCTTGAGGCAGGGGATCAGAAGAGGTTTGAGACTGAGGTTCCCTGAACCTGGGGGTCGATGCTGCTCAGTAGGAGCAAGAGCAATAGTTCTTGGTGCAGATGGAGCAGTATGCAGAGGGGCTAAGACCGTGTGGGTTCCTGTGACCGAGCAGAGGGAGTCCCTGTCTAGGGCTGCTGCTGTGGGGAAGAGGATCAAGTCTTCACACTCTGGCTGCCATTCAGCCAGAGGTAGCCAGGAAATGGTCACCTGGCTTGGGATCAGGCCATGACTGGGGTTTGCTCAGCCTGGGGCCCTCCAGAAAGAAGCCTTTGGGTGATGCCATTTACACTCTTCCTCTGCACCCATTGACTCTGAGCCTGGGTCATTCAAAAGAAGCCAGGCAGCCTTGCAAGGTAAGTGGAGAATGCTCCACCTTCCCCTCTCCCAGGACAAATGCCATTGTCCATGAGGTCCAGCTTCAGCCCAAAGCCCTTCCTGAGCTCTCATGTTGTGCAGCCCTGCTCTTGCTTAGTCTGATCACTGCTGAGCCCACCCGCTAGCAGTGGACTGCCCTAGTTCCCAAGGAAGTCCTGGGAAGGGTTGAGCTGTGTTCCCCCATGAGCATTTCATGGAACTGTAGCTCTGTGGGAGATTAATAAGTGTTCCATGAGAAATGAATAGCATGGTCAGATGAGCTTGGGAAATACTGCATTAAACAAGCTTCTTCATTGTGGCATCATAGAGTTTTTGGAACTTTAAGAGGCAGGCGTGTATGGGCTTGCTAAATGGACTTGTTTCAGCCTCGCCACCACTGACCCCTCTTGTTTTCATGCAGTGCCTGTTCCCTGGAACCACTTTTTGGGGACTGCTGGATCAGAGTGTCAATCAGTTGTCTCCATGCTCCTATTCAGTCTGGATGCTTAGAATGAACTCCTGACCTGTGTTTAGGAGTTGGTGGCCAAGCAGTGATCACCAAATTGCTGAGTCCATTTTTTTGAACCAACGTTTTCTGAGCATCACAATGGGTCAGGCTGTGGGTTGGTGCTGGGGTGACAGAAAAGCATGAGTTGCACATTTCCTGCCCTCTGGAGTTCACAGCCTCCCAAGGCCACAAAATAAGCAAATAAATAGCTGCAAACATAACAGGACAGACTCTCAGCTGGGGATAGGTACTCGGCCGGCTGGAGTATCTCCAGCACCAAGCCCAGTGTCTGGGACCCACTAGGTGCGCTTATGAGCTTGAATTGCCGTTAGTTGTAACTTGTCAAATAGTTTACACAAGAGTTTATTTCTCCTCCTGTGGTTGGTTGAATAATGGCCCTCAAAGATGTCTTCATCCTAATCCCATAACCTTGGAATACGTTACCTTAAATGGCAAAGGAAACTTTTCAGATATGATGAAGTTAAGGCTCTTGAGATCAGGAGGTTATCCCAAATTATGCCGAGGTCCCTAATGTATCCTGATGTGCCCTGATGTCGTTAGGGACACATAAGCATCCTTAAAGAGGGAGGAGCAGGAGTGAGAGAGAACATAGGGTAATGCAGGAGGCAGTATGGCACTGCGGATGGAGGAAGGGCCAACGGCACCAGCTGGGGAGCACAGGTGGCCATGGGAAGCTGACAAGGCTAATGGAGAGAACGTGCCCTTCCAACACCTTGCCTTTAGCTACTTGAGACTTATTTTAGACCTCTCCCCTCCAGGAGTATGTAAGAATACATTTGTGCTATTTTAAGTCACTAAGGTCATGGTAATTTATTACAGCAGCAATAGGAAGCTAATACCTTCCCCCTGCCCCACCGCCCCAACCAAATGTGCAGAAGTAGGCAACACAAGGAGTATGCAGTTGCTTGAGAAAATCATCAGGGCCCTGGTTCCTCCAGTGTCCAGCTGCATCACCCTTAGCGTATGGTCTCCTTCCTTATGTCACTAAGAAGGTGCAGATCTCTAAGCATCATGTCCACTTGCTAGGCAGAAAGGAGAGGAAGGGCCAAAGGAAATGAAAAAAGTTTTTTGTTTTTTTTTTTTTTTTGGTAGAAGACTTCTTTTTTTCCCCATTCAAGGAAAGAAACTCTTCCCAGAGAGTGCTGCCTACTTCTCACTGGCCAGAATTGTGTCACACAGTTACCTCTAGTTGCAAAGAAGGAAACCTGGGAATGTTAGTTTTTTGGGGTTTTTTTAACTGTGCATATTACTTTCCTGAACAAATTGGGATGCAGTTGATAGGAAGAAGATGAGAAGGATACTGGGAAGGCAAATAGCCTCGTATCTGCTTCAGAGTTCCATAAAAATTTGTTGGAGAGTGAACTGAACACCAGAAGCAGGGAAAACTGGAGTCAAGTTGTAGATCTGTTAGTACAGGCAGGAAGGGGTTGTCTGAACTACAGCGGGGATGTGGGGGATGGGCAGACTGGTGGGCTGTATCTGAGAGATAATTCAGATCCCCCGAGTGGAGGTTCAACAGAGATGCCTACCCTCTCATTCTGGTAGCTTGGTGGATGGCCATGAAGTACATGGACTATGGGATGGGGAGAAGTCTTGCATGTTCTCAGTTCAAGGTGTCTGTGGTCTAGTCCTGCTTCTCAAGGCTGTCCTGCTCAAAACCCACAACATGCTGAGATGATCTCTGGGTGAACACTCAAATGCCAGCTGACAATTCTCTCTGCTTTCTCTCCTCATCCCTTCCCTGTCTCTCTACCTCTAGAGTGATTCAATCTCAGGACATTATCAAATCCCTCTTGCCTGGCATCCTGGTCCCTTTCTAGACCTGAGCCCCATTCTGAATCCAGCCATTTTCCAGACTGTACTATAGTTAAGCCTCTTGGCAGGGCCCTGGTGTCCTGCCAAGCTCCAGACAAGGCCCTTCAACTCACTGACTCATTGGCAGAGATCTTGCTGCATCTGGTCAATTTTTGTTTTTGTTTTTGTCTTTTCAGGGAAGACTGGTGGAGGAAGAGCCTCTGCTTGTGGTGTTCCTAAGCACTTAGTCACTGCATGGAGTCTTCCACTTCAGATTGCTGGGTCCTGTCTGCACAGCTGGTCATACAGGTACTTCTGGACTTCTAGAGTTAGGACCAAGGCTGTTTTGCAGTAGTTTGGATCCTGGACCCTACAGCTGTGCATTTGGGGTTGGCCTTTGGAGCTGTCTCTCTAGTCTGTATTCTTTTTGCACTTGGATGAATGTTTTAAGTCTTCCATTGTGTGGCAGAGGTTGTGGGTGCTCACTCATACCCATGTTCTTCCTGGACAGTTGACCAGACTACGTTATCCAGACTTCCTTGCAGCTAGGAATGGCTGTATGGCTGAACACTGAATGTCAGTAGGAATGAGTGAAGCCACTTCTAGGCTGGTTGTATGCCCTTCTCTGTGGAGAGGCTCTCTCCAGGACAGATTCTAAAGAGGAACCTGTGGCCCTAGGGAATTAAGGAGTCACAGGACAGGAAGAGCTTGGGCCTTGAATCACTGTATTTCTGGAAGAAGGCCTGCTGAACACCTGTACACTCTGTGACTGGAGAGAAACTTCTGTCACATTCAACTACTAAAGATTTAGGGCTGTTTGTCATAGCATGTGCTATTAGACACATAACTAATACAATCTGATTTCTTTCCTTCTGCAAGGAAGTATATCATGGTGATTAAAAGCAACTTTTTGAACAAGATCATCTGAGTTCAAAACCCAGCTCTGTCACTTTACTGGCTGTGTGACCTAAAGTAAGTTACCTTGCTTCTCTGTACCCCACTTGTTCATCCTTAAAATAGGGATAATAATAGCCCAACTGATTCTAGTTACTGTATGGTTTAAAATGAAAACATAGGTACAGTGCTTGAGTTTGTATCTGGTGCTCAGCAGGCTCAGTGTAAGGATTACCTATGGCTTTTCCTTATTAACCTGAGGGTTTAGTGATTCTGGCTCCCATGTTGGAAGGGGGCCAGGCAGACCTGAGGCATCCCTTCTACCCATCCTGGATAGCTTGTTCCTGACTAATCCCAGAGATTATGGTCACTGCCACCCACATTAGCATTTAGCTTTACACCTTATTTTAGACTCATTGCATTTTTTATATTAATTTTATCTCTGTTTATGCTGTGTCACCAGTTATATTGAAAGCCCTTTGAAAGCAGGGACTATGTTGCATAGTGTTATGCATTCAGAATAAGAAACAGCACTGAGTAGGTAGTAGGCTCTGACAAAACTCATACTTTAAAAGCTAGATATGTTCTTACAACAAAACAATATCATGCCCATTCATCTTAAAATTTTTACAGGACATAGAAAAGCAATAATAAAAGATATAAAATACAACCACACAATCTAGTATCCTCTCAGAGCACATAGCAGCTTTTAATGGATTATACAGAAGGTTTTCAGAGTACATAAACTAGATGCTAATGATTATCAAGCACTAACAAGTTCCCAAAGACTGTAATGAAAGCTTTATTAAATTGTTTCTTTTAATATTCATAACAACTGTAGGTCCTCCTATTTTTCTCACTTCGCAAATGAGAAAATGGCCTCCAAGAGATTAAGCAATGAGGTTGGAGTCACATAATTAATAAGCACAAGATCTGGCATTGAAACAGAGCTCTGATTGCAAAGACTCTGCTCTGTTCAATAATTTCTTGTCCATTCTTTCCCACATGGAGTCTGTTGAGTGGCCCAAGGCATCAGTGGGCTTTGCCATGCCGGCTCTGTCAGCGGAGGCAGCTAGCCCTACCTGTATTCCACGCCCCGGGAACGACCCCACCTGCTCAGGGCTGCAACCGACTCTCTGTAGATTCCGTGTGCCTTTGTATGTGTGTGTGCCAAGACAGATGTGAAACCTTCAGTTGGGCAGATTAGCATCTCAGGCTCCAGTCCGCCCCCGCACCTCGCGCCTAGCTCCCAGCTGTTCCCGGTGCTGAGGTGGGGCCGGCAGGGAGCCAGACAGGAGCACAGTGTTCACCGCCCATCGGGTATTGTCTGACACCTGCGTGGGATTAAGGAGTGAGCCTTCAGGCTCCAAGGGACGCTCCCTTAGCTGGGAATGACAATGAAGTCAGAGAATTATCAGAACTTCAAGCCAGGGAGAGAAATCTTACAGGCATTTCTGAAGGCTGCAGGGATCTGAGCTTGAAAGGGGATGTTGGTGGGAGCAGTGAGGAGTTGGAACCGGGTCTCCAAAACTGAAAAACACCCAGGCTTCAACAGCTGCAAGGTCTGTCTCAGCCAGACCCCTCCTCTGTAGCCTTCCACTCAGTGCTGGCCCCATTCATGTCACAGATTCTTGCAGGATTTCTGGGGGGGCATGATGAGGACAATGATCATGAGGGGCTATGCTTTTTGAGGCTTTACTAGCATTCTGCTAAACACTTTCTATGTGCATGTCACATTTATTATGACAAACCTATGAAGAAGAGATATTGTCACCCTTTTTAAAAAAAAAAGGAAACAGACACTGGCAAAGAATCATTCATGCTCATACAGCTCAGTGGGTACAGGCACTGTTCCATCCCAAATTTCTGTTCTCTTCCACTAGCCTTGGCCCAAGGATCCATCAAGCAGTTAACTGTGACAGCAGCTTGACCGAGAGAAGGAAGAGGTGAGAATGACAGCTCCAACCTTGACATTTGTGCAGACGACGGAGAGAGTGCCCAATGAACAGTAGCTGGAAATATTTCCAGGACAAAGGAAAAAATGTCCTGTTCCTAGGACATTGAGCTCTATCATCTAGGGCTTCTGTCCTTCTATTATTAATGGAGTTATTTCCTCATTACTGACTCATTCATTAGACACCTCTTACATTCTAGAAATCACGTTTTTTGCTGAAGATATGTCCCCTGTGCCAACCAGGTCTTTTGGTTAGGAAGGAGTAAGTCCTCATGAAGTTGGGTTAAACCCAACTACAATGGCTTAACCAAGGGAGAGGTTGTTTCCCTCCTGGAACTAGAAGTTTGGAGGTGGGAAGTGTGAAGTAGGGTACAGAAACCACAGGACTCCAGGACTCCAGGATCCCTGTGCCATTTTCTTCCACCAGCTCTCACAAAGTTCTCATCCTTGTGGTTGAGGCTGGCTCCCTGACTTGTGGTCCTTTGGCCACATCCTAGAAAGAAGAAGATGCATGTAACTGATATCAGAAAGACAAAAAATTTTCCTGGCTGTCCCAACAGACTTCTGTTCATGTGTCATAGGCCAGAATTGTACCCCATCACCTCTGACTGCCCTCTCAAACCAAGCTGGGGTTCTATTAGTGAAGAAGAAGGGAGCAGTGTTAGGGGAGGTGAGTGGTTGCAACCGAGGCCCAGATGCTGTTGAATAATAAAAATGCCCTTAAAGCAAACCAAGACAACTTGCCAAGCACATCAGTGCTTTTACCTGGGCTATTGTATTTAATATATCTAGACTATCACAACAACCAGGTAGAGGAGATGGGTACCCCCTTCCTTCTGCATATGTCCCATCCCTGCTGACAGTGAGGACCCCAGAAAGTCCAGGCCTTTGATCCTGAGCAGGGGCTGGGGCTAGCCGAGTCCCCCATGATTTCCCCTTCTCCACTGTGGTATGGTGGGAAGAAGTACAGGGTGCTCAGTGAGGGAAGGAGGTGGAGAGTGGAGGAATGTGGAGGAATGTGGAAGAATATGTGTGAAGGCCCTTGTGGACAATAGGGAAGATCCTGGGCTTTGGAGGTTGGCTGCCCGAACTTCTTATCCTGGCTCAGTACTATTTGTGTGATCTTGGCAAGTTTGTAACCTCTAATATACTGATAATAGGAGGAGGGATATAAATAAATTAACACACAAAAAAGCACACTATTAATATTAGTAATTATCTTGCCAAGGAGCATGGCTTATATCTTTAAGGATAGTGTTATAGGACAGGAGTTGGCAGTCTATTTGACACAGAGAGTCAAATCTGACCTACACTTGTTTTTGTAAATAAAGATTTATTGGAACACATTCATGCCCATTCATTTACAGATTGTCTAGGGCTGTTTTCATGCTATAATGGCAGAACTAAGTAGTTGCAAATGAGACCCTATGCCCTGCAAAGCCTAAAATGCTAACTTTCTGGTTCTTTACAAAAGAAGTTTGCTAAACCCTATTCCAGTGAAACACACAAAGCTACTCTAACTTTGGGGCTCCAAAAGGCCCAGAGCCAAAACTCCATTTTTCTGCTTACTATCTATATGAACTTGGCAAGATACAGCTTCTTGGAAGATCATTTTCTTCAACTGCAAAATCAGGAATGATCCTATCTTCTTTCAAAGGACATTGTAGTATTAGATACAACAGAGATGGAGCACCTGGTTTCTGGTAGGTGCTCAATAGATGGAACCTGTTATTTTCATTTTTTGTGGAAGGACTTCAAGCAGAGATTGGTGTAATCAGATGTGCATTTAGGAAAAAATCTTAGAAGGTGTGTGTTTGCTAGAATTACCATAATAAAGTACCACAAATCAGGTTGCTTAAACAACAGAAACTTATCTCACAATCCTGGAGGCTTAATGTTTGGGATCAAGGTGTCAACAGGGCTGGTCCCTTCTGAAAGTTACAGGGGAGAATCTGTTCCATGCCTCTCTCCTAGCTTTAGATGGTTTACTGGCAACCTTTGGTTCTCCTTGACCTGTAGACACACCTCACCTTCCTTATGTGGCATTCTCTGTGTATGTATGACTGAATTTGTCCAGTTTGCTTCTTTTTCTAAGTGGATTAGGACCCATCCCCAGTGACCTCATCTTAAACTTGATCTTCTGCAAAGACCCTGTTTCCAATAAGGTCACATTCACAAGTTGTGGGGGTTAGGAGTTCAAGATCTTTTGGGGGGGCATGATTCAACCCCTAACAGCGGGGCAGCTTTGGCACAGGCAAAATAGCTGATTGGATAACCATAAGAAGGCTCTTTGGATGACCAAGGAAGTCAGAGGTGGTCAGATGATTAGGTGACAAAGCTTGGAAAGGCATCAGGAATTAGGGTCAAGAAAGAACTTAGTGACTAAGTATGGAGGGGGAAGTGGAGGAGCTGACAATGACATTGAGACTTTTCACTTGGCCAATGGTTGAATAAATGGAGTCTTTATTAAAATTGGGAGGAGACACATGTTTGGGAAAGGGCAAAGGAATATAAGTCCATTAAACAGGAACATGGTTATATGGAGACACGAGAAGGGAACCCCAGTGAAAAGAAGCATGAGCAAAAGAATATAACACTTACTGGACAGGTAGTGTGTTACCTGTGATTTGGGATAACAAATAGTAACTTAGTGAGGGGAGGCATAATTAATAACTCTCAATGGCATGGTGAAATCACCCAGAATTAGAGTGGACAGGCTTGGGGGAGGAATGGATGTCAGGAGACTGGTTGGATGTCTTCTGACATCATGTCCCTGAACTTCTCTTTAATATCCATATTTAGGCATTAGCCCTACTTCCCTCTCAACAGCTGTCATTCTGCACTTGTCAGGAACTGCCCTCAATCCTGCCCAAATGCTTCCTGTTCTGCCAGGTGATCACACCTGCTGGAATCAGGCCAGCCCCACGTGTTGATTGGTTCCTGCCCAGGCAGAAGATGCATCAGAAGCTTCCTGGTTAGGGAACACTTTGGTTTTTTTTTATTTTGTTTTTTGTTTTCCTTAAATAAAAGCCTAGTCTCTCATTTTTCAGCATCCCTTTCTGTGCGCCTGGGATAAAAATATTCACCGCACAGAGTCAAATGCAGAATTAAATGAGTC